CGATGAATGTCTCTCAAGGATCTCCACTTAAAGTCAAACTTGCACAATCACAAGAAAAAAACTTGCAGTACCAAGATGTTAACAGAAAACAATAACAAGAAGGAATCAGATCAAACAAAAGAACCCTAAATGTTCACGGATGAGTAAGATGAACTGAGATTCCAACAGAAACCCCAGTATGAACTCAACTATGAAGATCTAAAAGGATCTCAACCGAAAAATAAAGGTAAATAGATGTACCTTTATGAAACGATCTTCAATGACAAATCGAAGCCCTATAGCTTTGATACCATGTGAAAAAATATAGAAACACAATTTCCTAACATCATCATCTATTATACCATTTGAGGACAAATAGACACATGGTTTTCAAATACTTACAAAGAAACCTCACTACACAATTCCTAATATATTCTCTTGATGAACACTCATCCTAATCTACAACGATCAAGAAATTACAAAAGAATAAAGAACTGATAAACTTGAACAAACCCTAAAAACCCTTTTTACAACGAGAGAGAATAAGAAGATGAACTGTAAAAATATCTTGTGAATTATGACCATTGACCACTACAGCTTCAATTAAATACTTTGGGTAAACGAATCATATAACCCGCGTGTCAAACTCGTTACAAACTTACACCTTGATCCACAACTTTTATCCAAATGACATAATTGTCCCAAAGTCACAAATGCACAACTAAATCAATCCAAATATTTTACACAAAACATCCTGCACATTCATGAAATGACAAGTTTGCAATACTTTGCAATACTCACAATATTTAACAAAACTCGACACCATCACCAGCGATCGAACCACCATGAGGTCTGATCGAATCCCACTTGGTCGATTCCTTAATCGGCCACTATCACCGTATTATGCCTTTTGGTGCCGCCTCGCCAAAGCTCATTTTTGGTGACCATTGCAGACGAGATCCCCAATGGTAGACTCACCTCCATCACCGACGTAAAACACCCGCAGAGAACCACAAAAAACCTCGTTAGAAACAAAACAGGCTTGAAATCCACCTCCAGCTACCACCATTGTGTTCATTGTCACCCATTTTTCCCTTTGTAAATTTGAAACCTAGAAAATCAAGATAAATCCTCTTTAAATCAAAATAAGGCAGAAGTAATTCCCACATCCAACCACTATATATCATATATGTATAGTCTTATAGGGCCAAGCCCATCATTGCACTTCTCTCTATATATGTTATACGTTGTAATGCATTTCAATCATTGGGAAATATGCAAACATACAATCAACGGCATCCCAAAAACATTGAGGTCGAAATATTGCTTTCAAATTATGTCCCAAATTAGTAGATGCTGCTAAAAGGAACGGAAATATCATAAGAAAAAAGGAAGAGGCTCATAAATTGTTTGAGGCAAATAGACCTTTTGTGCATTTTCATTAATCCAATAACAAGATCTATACTTCTCGATCAAAACATCATCAAGAGAAAAAGAAAAAAATCAGAATTGATTGATATATTTTTCGAAACAAACGAACTAAGCCTTCTCGGGAACTTTCATAAGAATAAGAAAGAAGAAGCTCATGTAAATACCATGGAATAAGGTTTGATAATATTAGTGGAGATTCCATAAGTATTTCATTCTAAAAATGGGAACAATTATATATATTTTTATAAATTAGATGTAATTACTACTTCATCATCTGGAATGTATATAGTGAAAACTCCATTCTCAATTCCATGACATTTTTTTGAAATCCTTTCATTTGCACATTTTACGTTTATCCTTTCATCTGAGTGCACATAAATAACTTAATTATTTAGTCCATAATTTTTAATATATACTATTATGATGCTTTAATTTACTACTTTAAAGTCTTATCAATTAGTTATTTAATTACTATTTAAGTTTTTCCATTCTTTTTTTACCAAAAATAGAAAAAAATTCCAAACTCAAACTAGGAATGTTACATTACTCCAAGCGTAGGGTATCACAGAGAAGCATTATTTGATATAAAACCTAAATATATGTCAACTATACAACCTAAAACATATTAATCATCTTGTGGCATAAGTTCCTCGAGGGGAACCTAATTACTTCTTGCATTCACCAAAATTTTATAACTTTTGCATTTTGGGTCTAATAGTTTTGGGTTATTTTTGTAAAAATAAAAAAATTAGAATAAAAAAATAAAAAAATAGTTAGTTAAATAAATTAATAGAAATTTTTTATAATGAATAACTGAATATTTATTGGGATAAAAAATTAGAAATTTTGTTAGAAGGACCATACTTGTCAATTTATGAAACTTAAGCTTTATCCCATATATATTACTATTTAGGATTTTATCATTATGAATTAGATGTAAAAGGGTTAGTTATAAAATATGTGACGCAACTACTAAGTACATCGTGGCTTGTTGGATTTCTTAAAATGATATGGCTAATAATATATAATTTTATATGATCAAACATTTATCAGGTAGTCATTTGCTGAGTATTTATTATAATTACACTATTAATTAATAAATATTATTAACTCTTTTATTAAATTGAAAAATTATTAATTTATGAAAATAATATTTTCTAGGAGTGTAACTAACTATTGTATTACAAGGTATGATTTTATGTCATGTACAAAACTTTAAGCTTATTTAATTTCATTTATGCAATGTTTATAAACTAATGTACATATGAGAAATAAGATTGAGTGTAGGGATGACAAAAAAACACATACCCGATGGAAACCCAAACGGGATAATGACTTAGGAGGGTAATTAGGTTTTCAGCTTGTCCGTTTTAGGTCAGTAAAGTTTTTTTTTGTGCGTATTAGACCAATATGGTTGTTATTACCGTTTAAAAATACTCCTTTTATTGGTTTTAACCGGTAAAAATAACTATTTGTAAACCGTAATAACAATCATATTAGTCTAATACGCACAAAAAAAACCTTAATGACCTAATACGGATAAACTAGAAACCTAATTACCTTCCTAAGTCATTAATCCTAAATTTTGGGGGAAAAATACAAATCTAGTCAAAATCCTTAATTATTTATCAAAAAATAGCCAAAAAAACCACTTAGCCAAAAATAACCCACAAAAGAGTAGTCAACTGTAGGTTGACTACTGTTTCGCCAAATCGTCTACTCTTTCGTGTTTTGTATATATATATATATATATATATATATATATATATATATATATATATATATATATATATATATATATATATATATATATATATTCATTTTTAGGATACAAAACCGTAGGTTTTTTAAAACCTATGGTTTCCTTTTTTTTTTTTTTTTTTTTTTTTTTTTTTTTTTGTAGTTAAAACCCCTCAAAACAGTAGATTAAAAAAAAAACTGTATTTTTTCACCCAAATCCGTAGGTTTCGAGAAGAAACCGTAGGTTCTAAAAAATCTACGGTTTTGTATCCTAAAAATGAAAAAAAAAAAATACAAAACACGAAACAGTAGACGAATATCGAAACCTACGGTTTTCGTGGGCTATATTTGGACTTTTACTAATTTTTGGCTATAAATTGCTTAATTCCTTAATTTGGCTAGATTAGTAATTGCCCTAAATTTAAAGACATTGAGAATATATGTAACGCCCCGATTCTCAGGTATCGATGTAAATGAAAATTTATTTGGTTTAAGACTTACTCGATGAGTTGGTTGCCCTACTCGTCGAGTAGCAACGGGATGGATCGCGTGTTTAGCGGCCTACTCGCCGAGACCATGAAAGAACTCGACGAGTATGGGCTGACAGATGAAACCCTAAAATTTCGGGGTTCTGCACCCTATTTAAAGAAGCATAAGCCCCCTTTGGCCTCTTTGCAGTCCTTTGAGAGCTCAGAAAACCCTAATTCGTGTGGTGTTTCATTCTTGTGTGTCTTAAGCTTTAGAAAGGAGGTTCTTGGAAAGGAAGAGCTTGGAGGGCAAGAGACTAGTAGCAAGGAAGGCACAGGAATCAAAAATCTACCTCAGCTTGCATCATTTGGAGGTATCAAGTCGTCACCTTTACATCATTTTCCTTCTAGACCACTTTTGGTTGAGATTTAGGGTTTTTATGGGTTGGTTGAGATGATAATGTGGGATATCGGCTAGATCTGAAGTTGTAACTTCAAATTTCGACCCTTCTTGGGTTCTAGAGTCATAAAGCTCTGAGTTTGGTCATGTATGAAGCCTCTTCGAGTGTGAAACCCCACTGTGAGCTTGGATTTGACATTAAGAGCCTTTTTAGCTATGTATGCACTTAAAGTTTGCAACTTTACGTGAAAAACATGCCTTAGAAGCTTGGATCTGTAATTTGGAGCCACTGCATGGCTTAAAAGAGTTTGTATGGCTTAAGGACCGAAGAAACTCGGCGAGTCGCAAGGTTGACTCGGTGAGTCACATGAAGATGAGCCTGGAATCGACAAGTTGGATGAACAACTCAGCGAGTTGCAAGGTTGACTCGGCTATTCTAATAAAAAATAGGTTTATTCTTATTATTTGTCATGTGTGACCTATTGGGTCTCCTAATTAATATAATGTTACTTGTCAACTTACTGATTCTTCATTTTGAATTTCAAATTTTAAATTTTCAACTCTTATTAGATACAATTTATTAACATTAGAATAAAAATTAAAATAAAAGTAACATAGATTATAAGTTCATGGATTTATTTAAATCAACGATTACAATTCCATATAATAAAAAATATCTTTTACTTAATAATAATTTCTTTAAAATATTTGATTAATAATTTTGAATTTTTATAATAAATACTTAATTAATTTTATAACCATAATTCCCACAGCTTATAAACTAGTATTCTGATAATAAAATAAATAAATATTAAAAATAAAAACACATACATAAATACAAAATTATTTTTTTGATATTTTTGGATTATTCAAAGTAATAATTGAGCTTTGCTAAAAACAATTCAAAAATCGGAATAGTCTTATTTGACAATTAGGTTTTAAAAAGCCGTAATCGGCCTGCCTAGATAAGCTTGGGTATAATTTTGCGTAGTTGAAAATTTGCCGTTGACTTCATCTTGAATCCTTGTCGATCCAGTTTCAATGGCTTCCAATTCTTCTTCTAGTGCTAACGCTAGCAGCTATGACGTTTTCCTAAGCTTTAGGGGCGAAGATACTCGTCATTCTTTTACTGATCATCTTTACAAAACATTAATGGGAGCAGGGATTTGTACTTTTAGGGATAACGAAGAAATCAGGAGAGGTGAAGAAGTGAAGCCGGAGATCGAGACAGCAATTAAACAATCTAAGGCTTCAATTGTCGTATTGTCGGAAAACTATGCAACTTCCACCTGGTGCCTTGACGAGCTTGTACTGATCCTTGAACAAAGGAAGGAGGGGAATCATTTCGTTCTACCTGTTTTTTATCATGTTGATCCTTCTGATGTGAGGAAACAAAATAAAACTTTCACAATTGAAGTGAAAGGCTCTTCAAGGTGGACAGATCACAACGTGAACATGTGGAAGAAAGCTCTTAAAGAGGTTGCTAATTTGGCGGGCATGGTTCTGTCGGGGTATGCCTCACTGTCTTTTTTTTTTTTTTTTTTTTTTTGTAATATAATTATTATTGAAATAAAATTTAATTGATGCTATTTGATCCAATAATTTGATGATTATTATTGCTAATTTCTAGCCAAATTTGGTTCTCCACTTTTGAAGTTAAGATTCGGTCAAGTTTTTGTTGATGTATGGGTCAATAAATTAAACCTTTAAATCGGTATGAGATATTTGTTTGATAGAGAAGTTTGGAAAGGTGAAAAGTAATTTCCTTAAAAATGAATGAAAATGATGGAATCGATATGATCATTACCATAGAATGAATGTGTGATGGCTAACTTTCTTCTATTCTTATTTCAAATAAGTTATAGGAAAAAGTATAAAAATCGGTATGAGCTGTATGCTTTTTGATACATCATATACAAGTTTGACTCTTGACAAGAGCTACGCGAGTTTCTTTTTGTTCTTTCTGGATAACCTTGACCCCTAATTCTCTCTCTATGTTAATTTCTAATTTATGCACTTAAATTATCCTTATGACATGACTATAAGAGCTTTTATTTACATAAATCTGTTTATAGCAATATATGTTTTATTTCGATTTAATTTTCTATTTCAAATGCATTTGTAATTAAATTAGAAGATTCTTCTATTATAGCAATCTAAATACTCTGATCAGGTTTTGATTAAATTTTGATATTTTGTGGAATTGGAAGCTTAATTTAATGGAAATTAATTTTAAATATCTACTAGTAGTACATTACATTTAACTACTGAATATTATCATTCAGTTTTATACTTTTATATAAGAATTTCTAAATTTCATCTCATGAACTTGTTCATGTTTTTGTTGTTCCAGGCCTGAAACAATTTTTTTGAAGGAAATTGTTGACACCATTTACAACAAACTGGATCGCAAAGAAGTTCATCTTCCACCCAATCTAACAGGGATGGCCACTCGATACGAGGAGATCAATTCCTGGTTAAATCAATCAAATATTGAATTTTTAGCAATTTGTGGCATGGGTGGAAGTGGCAAGACAACTCTGGCCAAGTATATTTACGATTCAAATTGGAGATATTTTGAAAACACGAGTTTTGTTGAAAACATTGGTCGCAGATGTAAAGAATCCCATGATTTGCTTGAGCTACAAGAACAACTTCTCAATGATATTTTAGGTGGAAAGAAGAGAAAAATACCTGGTGTTTCTCAGGGTACATGTAAGATTGAGGAAGCCTTACAAACAAAAAGGACGCTTATTGTTCTTGATGACATTGCAGAAAAAAGTCAGTTAGTCGCTTTACTTGGAACTGGAACGATCAATGCACAAAGCAAGATTATAATCACAACAATTAGGGAAAATACAGATAATTGGTTCAAGTCCACATATTCTAGGTGTCAAGAGTATAAAATAAAATTATTAAATGAGGATGAATCGTTAGAGCTTTTAAGTCGTCATGCATTTGGTTCCAAAGCTCCCATGGAAGGTTTCGAAGAGCTTGCAATGCAAGCAATACGATATTGTGAAGGAAATCCTCTCGCTGTTGAAGTGTTGGCTTCTTCTCTATCCAATGAAAATACTATTTTATACTGGAAAAGTCGATTGAATGTATTGGATAAAGATTTTGATTCTCGAATCCAAAGTGTACTAATAACGAGCTATGAGTCATTACCATCTATCTTAGAGAAAGAATTATTTTTGCATATTGCTTGTTTCTTTATCGGAAAAGACAAGGATTATGTGGTAAAGATATTGGAGCCAGATTACTGTGCATTATCTGGGATCAAAACCCTATCCAACAAATGCCTTCTTTCTGTTTCCCCAAATAATAAGCTGATGATGCATCGATTGATTCAAGAGATGGGAAAAAATTTGGTTCGTCAAGAGTCATCAAAATTCCCTGCAAGACGTAGTAGAGTTTGGCTTAGTAGTGATTCTTATAAGATATTGCGCAAGGGAGAGGTAAGAAGCTTCTTATATGTATGTGTAATCCTACTTTTTCTTTCACACCATTCTATTTCATGTGAATTATATGGTTTATCTTTATCTTTATTTTTTCTTTTTCTTTTAGGGTTCAGAAACAATGGAAGGTTTAGCACTTGACATGCAATTACTAAAGGAAGATAAGGTTGCATTCAAGGTAATATTGAATAACTAAAATTGACTTTTAGGATTTGATTTAAATTTTGGTTTAGGTTTGATTATTTTTAAAAATTAATCATCTTTTTAGATTTTATATTGTTTCATGTATATATTTAAAAGTAGAAGTAAAAGAGGAAGATGAAAAAGATGAGGAAATTTGTTTATGTTAAGAAAGTAATTTTTTGTCTTTTTGGTCTAAAGGACAGACTTGTCGTAACACATTAAGAGCGTGTTTGGCACAAATTTTTTTAGAGTTTTTAGATATTAAGAAAAATCTCGGAAATCACATATGTTTCACTTATAGTCGTTCTCCATCATATTTTGTGACATTTAAGTTCTTATCATCTAATGTGAACTCAATTAGTCAAACTCATCTTTCATCAAGTTAGACACATTTAACCACTTTTCTCAATTTCTCTAAGTAATCAAATATTATTACTTCAATTGTCATTATTAACAAATAATATAACATTATTTATTATTTTTATCAATTTATATTTATCTTACCTATTTATTTTCTTATTTTAAAATAAAATTATCCCTAAAATTTTATTTTCTTATTTTAAAATAAAATATTTATTGTCGAGTTGGTATGTCAGCATGTGTTCTCATTTTTTACATGTGTACATAGTAAATTTTAAACCAAGTAATGTATTTTAAAAAGATATTACCAAAATGGTATGGTTTTAAAAATATTTACCATTTAGTTCAAATTTTATACCAAATCAAAATTAGAAGGTAAAATTAAAAAAAAAAAAAAAAGAGAAATTTACTTATCAGGGTTATTATATTTTTGTTTAGTTCACATTTAGGTAACATTTTTTTGGTATACATTTATATAACGAACTTACTGGAAGTGTTCACATATGACCATTATGACTGGATGTAACTTGCTACAGCCGGTCATAATGGTTATACGTGAACACTTGCAAAAAGTTTGTTACTTATATATGTACAAAAAATAAGAAATTACGCAAATGTGAACAAAACAAAAGGTAATTACCCTGATAAGTCTATTTCCACCCTAAAATTGGGTTGTTACAGTGTATTTGTCTTCCAATATTCAAGTTCAATAATTTTATAATAACCGGGTCTCACCGCGGTAAGTGTGCTCCCCCACCCCCAAGAAAAGAAAAGATTTTTAAGATTTTTTGTAATTTCCCCAAAAAAAGAAGAAAAAGTAAAAACATATGAATTTATCGATAACAATATAAATAAATAGTTCAAGTAACATATATAAATATTTTGTGAATGGTTTTTTTGGTAAATTGGGGTCCCCTACTACTAGACATATTTTTGCCCCACTTGGAAAAATACCTATCCACCCCTCGTTATACCCCAATCACTACACAACCATCTAGGACATGGAAATCGTCAATTGGTACTCAAGGCATGGAATCTTGTTACTTAGAGAATCTTTGGTAAATTCATTTATGGATATGATGTCATCTTACCATCCTTCTTTATGCTAACTTTCCAGTCGCTAGACCTCAAGACAGATGCACTTAAGAAGATGGATAAACTAAAATTGCTCCACTTTAATTTTGTGTATCTCAATGGGTCTTACGAGAATTTTTCAGAAGATTTACGATGGCTCTGCTGGCTTGGATTCCCTTTAACAACCATACCCCCTGACTTATTCATGGGAAACTTGGTGGCTATTGATATGAGCTACAGCAAATTGGAAGTATTTGATCCGCCCATGGTAGGGAATTCGGTATCCTATTTATGTCGCTTTTCCATATAGATTCTCAATCGTTAATGATCTTTAAATTGACATTGAACAATACATAAATCATGTTACTTTTGCAACAGGTTCTTCAGTCACTGCAAATTCTAAATCTTAAGGACTCGTATGATCTATTTGAAATCCGCAACATGTCAATGATTCCTCATCTTGAGACTTTGATTCTTTGGAACTGTCACAATCTTGTTCGTGTTTGTGAAACCATTGGAGACCTGACGAGTCTTGCACTGCTAAACATGACAGGGTGTAGAAAGTTGTTATTAGGAGTTACTGAACAGCATACGTTCTCCCTCCCACATTCATTACACCGATTATTCCTCAAGGACTGCAATCTCGAGTGTACCGATTCTTTCACTCTAAGTTTTAATGTTCAACTATCTTTGCAGTACTTGAATTTAGGCAATAGTCTATTTGAGTGTCTGCCCTGTTATGATCATCTTAAATATCTTCGGGTCCTTGACTTGAGCTTATGCTCAAGACTTAAATGGCTAGTATGTCTCCCAAGTACGCTTGCAGAATTGTATGTATACTACTGTTTGTCATTGGAGAGAATAACTTTCCAAGAACACCGATTCACATTGCAAGAGTTTGGCTATGAAGGATGCATTAGTTTGTGTGAAATTGAAGGCTTTATTAAATTGGTGCCTGTAACCAAACTTGAAGAAAATGATCTGGGACACATGAAGTGGCTAAAAGAATATCAAAATCAGGAGGTGTGCCTGGTTGGTGATGATGAGCTCACCAAAGGCAGAACTCCGTGTGTTGAGGTACGTTGTTTCTCTCTCAATTCTCAAACACATGCAGAAGCACATACAATCACATTGATATGACACCTAAAAACCGACTATATGTGACTGAATTCTAGTGCTTTTGGCACAGATGTTGTACGAATTCGATATAATGAGCACATCTCTGCCAGACATAAAGAATCCAAACCTGAAGCCTGAGTATGTATCAGCATCATCGGCTTTGTCCTTTGATGTGCCTTTGTGTCCAAGGAATAGGAAGCTCAAAGGACTTGATGTAACTTTGAGATATAAAATCTCAGGTGACGATGATTTGGCATGGTTCGTTAAAATCAGTACGAGCAATGGTGTTGATTTGATGTACAACCCAAAAGTCTTTGGAAAACCTGGATCTGGCAATGTTGGTATATGGTTAAGCTACTGGCCAATTGGAAACACATTGAATACTGGAGATAAAGTAAGTGTCTCTATTTCTGTGATGAGTGGATTGGAGGTAGAGGAATGTGGGGTGAGCCTTGTTTATGTTGATGAGAAAGTAGCTGAGGAAACCTTGGAAAATAACATGGGATGGGTAGAAGTTCTTGGAGGAGATTTGTCTAGATTTCAACTACGCACAGGAGCATACTATCTTTGTCGACGTGATTTCTTTGAGTTAATGGAGATTGGCAGGCTAACTCCTCATTGGTTTAGCATTTTAGTTGGTGATACCATCGACTCTACAGGTATGTCACTCTTGTGAAGCTAATTATGGGCATTTGTAGCTAGATTTATGCTGAAAATAGAGACAATTCATCTAATCACACATTGTTACAGAGGTACGAGGATGGAGAAAGACAGGTCGACCAAAGCAGATGAATCCATCATTTACAGAGTTGAAAACTGTTAGATGCATCATCCATGGTCCTGAACTGGTAAATTTTCTCTGTGGTATTTCTTTTCGGGCATGAAGTTGCTAGCGTATGTTTCATGCTGTGAATTGTTCTCGGATTCGTATCACCATTTGATTATCCTTCGAATCCAAATCTTTCATAATGGGAACAAATTAAAATTTTTCGATTTGGCTTTCATCAACCGTAATTAATAAATTTCTCAAAGCATTGTCCAAGTAATCACAATATCGCCTCAACCCATGTGTACAATACATCAGAAATCATAGGTGAAGCTTCGATCCTTTCACATCGATTTGCAGTAGTCTTTTTGCATCGGACCAGCAGAGGACACCCGCCCACTATGGTTCTGGCACCTGATCCCTATGGTCATTTAACATTCCCACTCTGCCCTACAGTTAGACCTCTACACTCAATACGTTCAACTTATTCTCATCCCATAAATTGCTTTGTGATTTTGCATCATGAGCACCACATCAACCCCCCCCCCCCCCCCCCCATCCTTCAATGCAAAAAAACACCTCGAATTTTACGGAGAATTACTATAAAATTAATAAAATAAAATAAAATCAAGAGTCGATCCAAAAATTTATGCGAGGTTTTATAAGTAGTTGTGAATTTTTGTCCTATGACAGCACATGGAGACTTGTTCATAACTAAATAGTCACAATAATCCGTCTCTGTCTACATAGTTGATGGCAGTCAAACTGGTGGACATGTCTCCACTTGTCACTTGTCATTACCAAATTTTGTTCATGTTCCAAAGTTATCTCTTGTTGTATCAGTTGCCAATTATGTGACTCTAGTCTAATTGTTCTTTTCACCAATCCTAGTTGTCTTGTGTAGGATCCAAAGACCAAGGAGACTCTTAGAATAGGTCATAGAGTTGCAACTTTCAAGGTTGTTTGGAGTGGTCAACCTTTGTCTTCCAAGTTCATTTTCACAATTTATATAGCTTCTATATCGAGTTTATCTTCGTTTGGTATGTAGCATGCTGACCTAGATCATATATTTGTGTCTTGACCTAAAACTACTTTAACACCAAATCAATTTCTTTTTTGTTGTGTCTACTTGGAAAACACCATTATTTTCCGTCTACTGCAAATGCTTTCACTCCTTTAGCAGCTTTTGACTTAGTTTAGTTAGGTTTTTGGACCTGCAACTCATCCCACTATGGAGGTGCTAGGTACTTTGCTATCTTTGTTGATAATTGCACTCGTTTTACTTGGGTTCACCTTTCCATCACTTTCATATGCATGTTTGAAACTCAATTTTCTAATCCATCAAAATAGTATGTGATGAAAATGCCACGGAATACAAAGATTCTTAGCTCCTCTCCTTCTTGTATGAACATGAACCGAGCCCTAATACTTGTGTCCTGCCAAATCACAACAATATGGTCGAGGTTAACGCAAACATAGATATTGTTCATACGTTGCTCATCGTATCTCAAGTCCAAGAACAGTACTGGGGTGAGGCATCTGTTAACCTGTATATCAAACAACTTCTAGTACACAACTAGGATGCTATACAGGTATTTGGAGAGAGTATAGAATTGACACCCAACTGCTGTATATTCTCACAAAGTATAACAAAGAACAAGAGGCCTTATAAAGGCTTACAAGAAAGCAAAGAAATCGGACTTTACAAGAACAAACAAAGAGACAAGTAGACCACTAACCTATGTCTACCACTATCTACTAAAGACAAAACAACAACACTAGACACAAGAAAGAGGCTAAAATAAACAAAGCATCAAAAGCAACAACTCCACTAAGCTAGTTGCATGCATAAAGATGAAAAGGACCTCTGTCATTTAGTTTTATCATAACAATTCTTACTACTCTACATTGTTCCAAACTAAAGGAAGTTGCCATAACGTTTGTATAACGTACAACTGTTATGCTTCTCAAATCATCCATTGCCATCGCATACTACTCATATGACACTTGTAAAATTGATAGAAATGTCTTTTTTTTTTTCAAGTATTACAGGAATTCACGTACGTGGAAATACCAACCACACTGTTATAATATAATTTAAACCATTGGTACTTAATGCTAATTTGGATATAATTAGTGTAATAATTGAGTTTATCTAATCTTGGTTCTGGTGTTTGAAAAACATGAATAGGAGGAAGTTTACAAGATCCCAGAGATGTCAAAATCATCTTTTTTAGATAAAACTTTGGAATTTCCATCAAGCATCCTTGGAGAGTCCATGCAATCTACCACCACATCTAAATTTGGAGCTATAGTAAGAAAGGTAAATGAATATTACTTTTAGTGGATAAAAGAAAAGAGTTTTAATGTTTTTGTGTTTGGAAATTATTAACCCACTTCCATCAACGTACAAATCTACGACCAACAGGCTGAGGACATCTCTGAAGATGCATCGACATATATGAAAGAGATATCTGAAATAAATGTAAGGAGCTTAAATATTTCGTCACATATAATTATAACTTTTTCCTCAAGTCATCAACACGACATAAGAAAGCTTCAACTCTTTCATTCTCATTCTGAAATGATTGCCCAAAAACCATGGAACTTCACTTTGAATCTTTCGCATGTCTTAAACTTCTTTTGGTCTTCAGAGGACATGTAATTGAATTTAACTATACTCTTTTCTACATAGACTTTAACATGTAGTGTCCATCAATTTTATGAGCTAATGTTCTAAAATTACATACTCATACTTTCATACATCAACATCAGACAGAAAAACAAAGCAATCAGTAATATCTTTCTACAGTAAAGTTCACATAAAAAACCGATCAACTTTCACTCTGCAATTACTTTTCCTCTTGAACTACAAATCTTCTGAAAAGAAAGGTGCATCGGATTAATATATTTTTTTCATTTGTTACATGGCACGCCAGATTCATTTGTTTTTTTTAGAGAAAATGACAATATTAGCAAACTTTTACTTTATAACTTGTTTTCCCCTTAACTTGATTGTTCTCAACACCACATGTTGTGAACATAAGTTATCTATTTTTCCTCTTGTGATTTATTCAGGAACCAAATGAGATTGACCAGCTACACCTTATGAAAAACATGTCTGAAGAACTTTCTGATGAAATTCAGGAGTACGCTACTTCAAGCCTACATGGGGACAAACTGAAATCAATTAGTGGCCAGATGAAGGTAATTCAACATTAAGCTTATTAGATAACAGGTAGGAAAGCAAACATTTCCTGTACACTCCTAAAGAAGGTGGACCAAAGTTACAGCATGTATTTCTCATTTGCTGCTCTAACCCTCCGGCGTACCAGCATAACGAGAGAGTTTATAATCATAAATGATTATGTCGCGCCCCTGTTCCTTTTACCTCCACCGCTTTCACCACCACCATAACCACCACCGCTTTCACCACCACCATAACCACCACCGCCATCACCACCACCACCACCACCACCCCGCCACCAACTGACCACATTATTGCCACCTCCATCAACTATACCTCTACCACCACCACCACCTCCTCCCTCACCAACCACCATAATCATATATGATTAATTACTTTCAGACATATGTATAATCATTTATGATTAGACATGTATAATCATTTATGATCAGACATATATGTATACACATGTATAATCATATATGATTATATATCTTTGCCATATAATCATTTATGATCTGGCATACGCCAATGCTTGGTGCGTTGGAGCGTTAGAGCGGCAAATGAGAAATATGTGGTTGAGGTTGAATCTTAAGATCTCTATTTTTTTAGAATTTCAAGTGATCCGTCTTTGAAAACTACATGAAATATTTTAATAGAAAATTACATTGTAAATATTCAAATAGAATTCCTAGATTGTTACAATATTCTAGTATTCTACCAGAATTGTTAAATATGTTAAAATATTCTAATATTCTACTAGAATTATTAGATATGTTACAATATTCTAATATTCTACTAGAATTGTTAGAATTTTTAGAATATTCCAATATATTGTTGGAATTGTTTGAATATCTATAGTCTAATATTTTATTACAATATTTCATGTATATATAAAAATAATATTTCATGTGTTTATTTTTTATTTTGTTGTATAATCTAAATGACAAATAATATTTAATATTTCATGTCTTATAATGAGTGGCTAGGATTGTGTTCCCATGTCTTATAAAATATGATGGTCTTATATGCACCTAATCCTCTCTCTCTCTCTCTCTCTCTCTCTCTCTATATATATATATATATATATATATATATATATATATATATATATATATATAAGATCACTTTTTCAACCTTCATTTTATAGCTTATCTTATATCGAAAGAAATAAATAAAAATATATAAATTCATGATTTATCAACCTCTTTCCATATTGGTATTCGAAAAAAAAAATGTGTAACATATGCATCACATGCACATTATTTGGAAAAACGTTTTTTTAGAGCTTATTTCTATCGAAAAACATAACTAAAAATATATAAATTTATCATTTTTTAACCTTTACCCATAGTTACATTCGATTTTTTATCTTTTGCATATAACGTAAAATGTGCACTATATGCAATTATGCACACAAGTAGAAAAACATTTCTTTTTTCAAAAATTCACCTTTTATAGGAGGGTCCTAACTTATTAAGATGTTTTTCATCTGTATATTAATGTGTATATATGCAGACGTGCATATATGCATATTTTCATTTTATGTATATGTGGATATGGTGCACATTTTACGTAAAATAAAAAACAATTTCCGAATACTATTATGGAAAGAGGTTAATAAATGATGAATTTACATATTTTTAGTTATTTTTTTCGATGTAAGATAAGCTCTAAAACCAAGTTTGAAAAATCATGCACATTTGAGTTTTTGCATATATGCACATTTTTTAAACTTTTTCTAGATACGTTTTTTTTTTCTAAAAATATTTATTTGACTAGGATGTTGATATAAAAGTTGAATCATTAAAAAGAATTTCAAAAAAATGCATTTTTTTTACAAAAAATGTGCATATTGTACAAATTTTTCATAGATTTTTTTTATTATTATATTTCTTTTCTAATATCAATATGGAAAGAGGTTGAAAAATGATGAATTTACATATTTTTATTTATTTTTTCGATATAAGATAAGTTCTAAAATGAAGGTTGAAAAAGTGATCCTATTGATCCTAAAAAAGTTAGTGATCTCATTGGAACTTTACTCTCTCTCTCTCTCTCTCTCTCTCTCTCTATATATATATATATATATATATATATATATATATATATATATATATATATATATATATATATATATATTGGTAATTATCGTGTATGTTTCAGAAAATTGTGCTGGGATTCAGATCAGGCAGTCGAAGATCAGGCAGTCGAAGTAAAAGATGGAAGGTGATGAAGGCGTTATCTGTGGTCAAGAGTCTTTTTAGATAATAATTAGTTTTGTGGTTATCTTGTATGGTGTATATCCGATAGTTAGTTTTGAAGGTAGATAATTATCTTGTATTGTATACCCTATATATGTACTTGTTTGTTATGTGAATAATATTGAAAAAAAAAACCCTTCATACGTATTCTGAGTCTATATGGTATTAGAGCATACCGTTTGAAACCCACATCAAAAACAAATCGAAGCACGAATAACCTCGAATCGCAATGACTGATAAGGATACCACCGCTCCTCAAGAACCTCGTCTCATCGTCCAAGATGCTCCTTTTCCGACGGGGATCATTCTGGACGAAACCAATTATCAGTTGTGGTCCCAACTGATGGAGATGAGGATTGGCGCTCGAAACAAACTTGGGTTCTTGACGGGAACCTCCAAGAAACCTGAATCCGGCGCGAAACAGATCGAAACCTGGCTAATGGATAATAATCGAGTCAAGAGTTGGCTCATCGATTCCATGAGTCCAACCTTGATCTCGACGTTTATCCGGTTGAAGACGGCAAAAGAAATCGGGGACGCCGTGGCGAAAACCTTCTACGATGGAACGGATGAAACGCAGTTGTTCGAGTTAAATCGGAGGTCGTTCAGCACGAAGCAAAATGGACGGCCACTCGCAGCATACTATAACGAATTGGTTGGAATTTTTCAGGAGATTGATACCCGACTAATGGGTCATGAAGATGAAGTTGATAAGATCGTATCCTTGAACAAAATCTTGGGACGACTCCGAGTGCACATCTTCCTCTCGGGATTGGACGCTGAATTCAATCAAGCGAGGGGAGAGATCTTGCGTAAGGACCCTCCAATGGACCTAGAAGCTTGCTATGCTTTCGTTCGCAAAGATCAGCAACAACGATCTACAATGGAGGACGTGAAACGCGAGACCGACAGTGTCGTGAACTTGGCTACTCGGAGTCGCACCGTGAAGGAGAAAGAAAAGGAGAAGAGTTCCAACAATAAGAAGAATAATTTTGTGTGTACCCACTGTGGTGAAGAGGGACACTCAAAACAAAGGTGCTATGAACTAGTTGGGTACCCCGAATGGTGGGACTTCTCAAAGAGGCCACGAAGGAAGGTGGGACAGACATCCATGGCTACAACAAAAGGTGATGATGGGACTCCGGTTGCGGCACATACCGAGTCATTTAGTGATCACGGTAAGCCTACTATATCCCGATTTTTTAGTCATGAATGGGTCATTGATTCCGGCGCTACGGATCACATGACAAACGATCCTTCTATATTGGAAATTAAAACCCAACCAACACAAAGTTTAATTAAAACGGCAAACGGAGGATCGGCTGACGTAATTTCCGAAGGTTCAGCAAAAATTTCGGAATCAATGAATCTTGAATCAATCCTTGTTGTCCCATCCTTATCTTCAAGTTTGTTATCTGTTAGCCAAGTTATTGACCAACTCAATTGTTATGTCTCGTTTTGGCCAAATAAATGTTTCTTTCAGGATATCGCGACGGATCAGATTCTTGGCTATGGTACTAGGAGGGGCAGGTTGTACTATCTCGAAGAAGAAAGATTAGCGGAGGCGTATAACGTAGAAGGAAGAAACGAGTTAGCGTGGTTATGGCACCGTAGATTAGGACATTTGTCGTTTGGGTATTTAAAAAGATTAAAACCTGAATTATTTTTGAATAATAAAACATTTGATTCTAGTTGTGATATTTGTGAATTGGCTAAGCATCATAGAGTCTCATATCTTCCCAGTGAAAACAAAACAACAATTCCATTCATGAAGATCCACTCGGATGTTTGGGGTCCGGCTAAAATTGCAACCCCAAGTGGGTATCGTTATTTTGTAACTTTTATCGATGAATTCTCACGTATGATTTGGGTGTCGTTATTGAAAAACAAGAGTGAAGTACCGCATGTGTTCAAGGAACTATATCAGATAATTAAATCTCAATTTAAATGTGAGATCAAAGTGCTCCAATCCGATAATGGAGGTGAGTATGTTAATCAGGAAATGGAGGCATTTTGTAAGGCAAACTCCATTCGACATCAAACATCATGCGCCAATACTCCTCAACAAAATGGGCTCGCGGAAAGACGGAATAAACAAATACTCGAGATTGTAAGAGCATCTCTTTTCGACATGAAGGTACCCCGTCAATATTGGGGAGAAGCTGTGCGGAGTGCGGCGTACCTAATGAATCGGACTCCTTCAAGAGTCCTCAATTTCAAAACACCTTTACAAGTAGTACACGAAAAACTGGAATTAATCATCGGACCCAATCTCGAACCAAGAGTATTCGGGTGTTCGGCCTATGTGCATAGTAATGATGGAAAATTGGAACCACGGGCCAAAAAATGCATGTTCATTGGATATGCTGATTACAAGAAGGGGTACAGATGTGTTGATCCGAAAAGTGGGAAGGTTTATGTTACTCGTGATGTTAGCTTCCATGAAAAAATTCCATATTTTACACCTGAATATTTCCCTCAGGGGGAGAAATCTAATGAGGGAAATATACAGCCCAATGAGTTGGGTCCATCCGGAAATGCGATTTATGAAGATGGACTAAGCGAGAATGGGCCGAACGACATAGGTAATGGCGGATCCGATTCAGGGGGAGATGGGCAAAACGGTAGTGAAGCCCAAACAGATAGTACACCAACAGATAGTACAACGAGCCCGATACCAAGCGAGTCTGATCCAAGCGAGCCTGTTAACGAGCCTCATCCAAGCGAGTCTGATCCAAACACGTCGCAAGGTATGTTTTTTAATGAGAACTCTAACGTGTATGGTGAAGTTGTGGGTGAACAGGAACATGAGACACCTGCGTCTAGGTATCCAGTTAGACGTAATAGAGGGGTACCACGTAAACAATATCAACCGGATCTAACATCGAAGTCTCGATACCCGATCAATAACTTTGTCTCGACGGCCAAGCTAGCCGACACTCAACGTTGCATGGTGGAAGAGTTATCATCCGTGGTGATTCCGAAAAACATACAAGACGCAATGAAACACCCTGAATGGAGAAAAGCGGTGTCTGAAGAGGTTGACGCTCTCAAAAGAAATCAAACGTGGGAAGAGGTGTTACTCCCAACTGGAAAGAAAACCGTAGGGTGTAGATGGGTGTTCACTGTGAAGCTCGATTCAAATGGAAAGGTGGCTCGGTACAAAGCAAGGTTAGTTGCAAAGGGTTACACGCAAAAGTTCGGTATTGATTATGAAGATACCTTTGCACCAGTGGCTAAAATTAATACTATTAGAGTCCTTGTGTCAATTGCGGCAAATCAAGACTGGCCACTTAAGCAGTTCGACGTGAAAAATGCTTTCCTCAATGGTTATCTAGAAGAGGAAGTGTTTATGGATCCTCCTCCTGGAATGAATTATGGCGGCAAGGTGTGTAAATTGAACAAAGCACTATATGGGCTGAAGCAATCCCCTAGGGCGTGGTTCGGAAGATTTTCAAAGTTCATGAGAAAGATCGGGTATAAACAATCAGACGCAGATCACACTTTGTTTGTGAAGAGTTACGGTGATAAGGTCACAGCCCTAATCGTGTATGTGGATGATATGGTTGTTACGGGCAACGATCCAGACGAGATTAACACACTACAAGGTTTGTTGAGTCGCGAGTTTGAATTGAAGGATCTCGGGGACTTACGGTATTTCTTGGGAATTGAAGTTGCTAGATCTAAGCATGGGATAGTAATGTGTCAACGAAAGTATGTTTTAGACCTTCTTGCAGAAACGGGAATGTTGGAGTGTCAACCGATTGATACTCCTATAGAAGTGAATCATAAGCTTACAGAATCGACAGGTCAAGTTCCAACCAATAGAGAGAGGTATCAAAAATTGGTCGGAAAATTAATCTATCTTGCACATACACGACCGGATATTGCATATGCGGTTAGCATTGTAAGCCGTTTTATGCATGCTCCTAGTGAGAGTCACATGAAGGCTGTTTTCCGGATTCTACGTTATTTGAAGTCGTCGCCGGGTAAGGGTTTGTTCTTTGGCAGAAATGGAAGCGTAGAAGTTAAAGGGTATACGGATTCTGATTGGGCAGGAGACAAGTCTGACGGTAAGTCCACGTCAGGTTATTTTGTATTTGTTGGTGGTAATCTTGTAACGTGGCGTAGTAAGAAACAGAAGTTTGTGTCGCGCTCGAGTGCGGAGGCAGAGTTTCGAGGTATGGTTCACGGTGTATGCGAGTTACTTTGGGTCAAACGGGTGTTAAAGGATCTGGGCATAAATGTGAAGGGTACTATGGAGTTATTTTGTGATAATCAAGCGGCTGTGAAGATAGCGAGTAATCCAGTTCAACACGATCGGACTAAACATGTTGAATTGGACCGGCATTTCATTAAAGATCATCTTGAGAAAAAGACGATTAGTTTACCGTATGTGAATTCGAATGAGCAGTTAGCTGACATGTTAACCAAGGCTGTGTGTGTGCGAATATTCAACGACTCTTTGGACAAGCTTCGAATGATCGATATACATTCATCAGCTTGAGGGGGAGTGTGGTCAAGAGTCTTTTTAGATAATAATTAGTTTTGTGGTTATCTTGTATGGTGTATATCCGATAGTTAGTTTTGAAGGTAGATAATTATCCTGTATTGTATACCCTATATATGTACTTGTTTGTTATGTGAATAATATTGAAAAAAAAAAAACCCTTCATACGTATTCTGAGTCTATATTATCAGGGTTGGGTATCCAGTTGATTGATGTCGTTATAGAAGATGGAAACCTAACTGTTATCGGGGATGTTGATTCCATGGATGTTATTCAACATGTGAGCAAGATTGAGGGCGTATATAGCATAAGTGTTGAACCTGCAAAAAAAATCAAGGAAGAGCGGGAAACAGGCGTTGCACCTTCATACAAATCCGCAAAAGAACACAAACATGTAATCATAATTCGTTTTAATCATCCCGCCCTCCCTCTTTTTTACGTTTTTTCAGTATTATTACCTGGTCTTATATATTTTTCTTTGGTAATTATAGCGAAAAATTCAGAAAATTGTGCTGGAATTTAAATCAGGCAGTCGAAAACAAGGAGAGATGGTGCTGGAGGCGTTATCTGCACTTCAGGGTATCCAATCGATTCTTTTTGATTTAGAAGAAGGGAGTGTAACTGTTATTGGGGATGTTCAACCGGCGGAAATTTTTCACAGAACATGGATGATTGAGGACGTATATATTATAAATGTGAACGATGAACCTATAAAAAAAATATATGAAACCGGTGTTAGTCCTGCATTCAAATTTTCAGAAGAAGAAAAAGAGTTTCAACAAGATAGAAAAACCTGTTCGGTGATGTAAGGATGAAGTGGATTGTAGCTAGCTGCACATGATTCTGGATGCAAATGGGAGGTGAGTGGGACTGCATCGAAGTTCCAATTTCATTGCGTGCTTTGTCCTGTGAAATTCCAACTATAAATAGTTATTGATTTGATTGATATGAATTGGATTCATTAAACTGACCTAAAACCAGAAACTAGATATGGAATTAATCTGGTTCAAATTTAGTTTTTGATTTTCAGGCTTCAAACTGGACTAGGATACTTGTAGACTGTTTAATTTTTATTTGACCTATCACAAAAAATAATTTATTTCTGAGCATGTCCACCTTGGCTCATCGGGATGTACCTAGTTCTTCTCATTACTGAATAAGGTTGCAGTCAGATTGCATATACATTTACAATGTACACCTTACTTCCTCATTTTTTGTGGTTTGCTAAAGTATTTTTATTCATTGCACTATAACTGAAGCACTTAAGTTCTTAAGAAGTTCAAATGGCAACCTATGAATCTTCTCATTTGCTTTCTTCTTTTGTTCCAGGTTCAAAACCAACTATCGCAAAATGTGTTGAAATAATCGACTCTAAACTACATTTGAAAGTAGCTACTACTGGGCCCACGAGCTAAAGGTAGTAAGTGGACTCTCGCAAAATAATGAATCTTATCCTTTATTGAGAAAAGGAGAGGTAAGATACTTCTTATGTGCATCTTTAAGCTTACTTTCAATTTCACAACATTCTATTTCAATTAGCCTTCTCACATTTTACATATTTCTCTATTAGGGTTCAAATTCAGTTGAAGGCCACCACTTGATATGCGAATGCTCAAGATGGTATGAGATCAGAGGTAAGCCAAAGAAGTTAAGTAGTGCTTGGTACTTATGAAGTGAGAATTACAGCGATTATCTTAATAGATAAAAAATGCTATACATCAATATGAGCAGGAAATTTGTGAGTCCTGAATCCTGATAATCTAACGTGTTCCTGACCAATTGAGCATTTATGTACTAGCCAAACACATGAAAATGGAAATGTGGCAGTGAAGACAGCAATCATTTATGAAGCTTCCAAACTCATCAAATGAGAAATTATAACATTAAGTTCCCTCATGTTTAGGACAGGAGCTATCAATCATAACTCTCTATTTTTGCCACCTCCACCATGATGGTTGATTGATGCTTGCACTATTGCATATGTTGAAGGTAGAGGAGGTATAACCGGTACAATTGTTGGTCCATTGGCATGTCCTTGTGTTCAAATCTTTCTACTACCACCATGTTTTCGATGGTTGAATGGTGCTTGATATGGAGCTAGACAGATGCCCAACCAATATGAACTTGATTTCTTTTTCTCACATTCATGTTCCTGAAAAATGCCGATTTTAACCCTCATCAAATTGATACAAGAAATAGTTTTTAGATTTCCTCCTCATTTGTTCATCAAAATAAATGTGTGTTTTATTTTTTTGTAGTTAATTTAAAGATTGTACAGGACAATCAGTTACGTGCATGTGGGTTTTCATTTGTCTACTTATTTATATATGTTCTGATAAGTAATAGGATGGAATTGCTGATTTGGTAAAGGGTTCGAAACTCTAACCGATCTAGTGTCAAGGTTGGTGAATCATAAGCAACTCTTTTGATACTTGCACACCTTACTTAACTATGCTTTGATTTTGGTTTGAAATTGCGGGTTTTGATTCAACAACAAAACTAAATGGCGCAAAGGGATGTATTATATAGGCTAACCTCTCCTCCTCTTACCATGGAGTCTAACCGTCTCCATTCTCCTAAGCATAACCTTCGGTTGCCTCCTTTTGACACATCGAAATCATCACTATCTTTATTCTCTTGATTTTTCGGTAATTGACGTCACTCTCACCAAAAATCAAAATGGTGTGTTTTATATCTTGTCTTACAATATTCCACTGCATGTCCATTGTACCATCCTAATTTCGCAATTTCCATTTGCCTCTCTCATGGTCATTCTTAATCGGCCAATAGTTTCATTCGTATAACATAGTTGGCTTTAAGGTCTGTTTGGTAGGATCTGAATTTTTAAGATCTAATATCTGAATTTTTAAGAGGTTTGAAATTTTAAGAGCCGAATGTTTAACATGTTGTTTGGTAGGGATCTCTGAATTGATGTGTTGAATTAATAAAATGATTATTTTACCCTTTTGTTTTATTTTTATTGAATTCAAGTGTTTGTTTATAAAACAATCTAATCAATTTCTTAAATAAGTATAAAAAAATATAAACACCATATAAAATCCAAATTTAGCATAAATTAAAATTAAACACAAATCCAAATCAAACATAAATATTTTTAAATCCACAAAATCATACTAAAATCCTAAAAATTTAATTTGACCCCAATTAATTCGCAATCTGGTCACCCAAATTATCCATGTATTTGTTGCCTTATGAACCCCATTCCATATCGTGAACGTTTTGGCCATTATTCTCTCCCCTTTGTGCGTGACCATTGTTCTCCGTAAACGTCATAAATAACTCATCAAGAATATTGCATTTCCTGTTGTGGACTGCAAAATAAGCAACGACTATGTCTCTTTGCACTGAAAAAGGAAAATGAGCCATTTGCTTTAGGATTGGGAATCTCGTCTTCAAAACACTGTAGCGCGTTCAATAACATTTTTGAGTTTCGCATGTGCATGATTGGATTTCTCTTCTTTAGTTAATGCACGTTATCGTCGATAATCGGATAACCAATACCTTGTATTGCGGTAAAAAGTCATAAATCCACGAGTGTTCAGGGGCGGATCCACATTGGAGCCTGGGGTATCTCGGGTACCCCTCAAAATTGATCTAGTAGTAACACTGCATTGGTTGCACTTGGAATCAGAATAGACATTGGCGGTGTGGTTGTGCTTGTGTTCGGTTTTTTCGTTATTTGGTACAAGAGACAGAAGAGAAGCCGTCGTGCCTTATCAGAGTCTTCCGCTCCATTAGGGTTCAAAGGTTAGGTGTTTGATGATGCCATATCTTCATTTGATTTTTGATAGGTTATTTTAGTATTTTGTGACGTTAATGGTTGTTTTGATGGTTGATTATGGATACTCCCTCTTGCCTACTATCGATTATAGATATTCCCAGACATGGTGTTTTTTGTATCTAAAAATTGATAAGAAAGCACATTAATTAAATATGGACTGATTATTTGGGGGCAAAGTTGATTTTAGATAAGATGAGTAGTTTTAGTTATCTATTGTTCGTTCCACAATACTCACTGTCAAAGATGAAGTGCTAAAATTTGAATTTTGATGTGAACTAATTAACTTCATAGTGAATTTTAAATGCATTAGAATTCATAGAATAATTGCTTCATATTTTTCATTGACTGAATCAGACTCATGATGCAGAGGATTAACTGATGATGTAGAGGATTAGATGTAGAACTCAATGTTAGAGTTAATATATAAAATGGACTAACCTATTTAGTGCATTATTAAGTTATATTATGAATTTTTGACTTCAGTGGGAAAGGGGAATGAAACACTCTTAGAAATTCAAGTGTTGTTGTTGACTCTAATTTCTAAATGAACAATGATAAGGTTTTCTTAACCTTACCCAAACTATGAGTTGATATCAATCTTAACCTCTTATAAATTAGGGTTCAATCCCACCCTTAGATTACACGCTTAAATTAATATCAATCCATCATGAGTGATGGAATTAACTAGAAGACAATCAAACATCCTAACCTAAAACTTCATAAAAATGATTATATTGATGCTCTTATATCGTTTCATATGCTAATTACGTGTTGATATGCATATCATCATCAACATTACTAATTAATCCCAATGTCTATTTAGAAAATTCCAATTTATTTTGCAATGATACACTGGAAAAGAAAATTAGGCTACCTTAAAAAAAATCTATGCTACCCCTTTACTTTGATCCTAACTCCGCCACAACGAGTGTTGGTGTATGCAGCATCCCAAAGGTAATATTTATCTATACACGTTAGTGAAGTCATAAATTTCCATTTTCCCAGAATGCCCCAGAAGTCAATTAGTCAACCCTTGGTCAAAGTCAAAGTGAACAGTCAAGGCCAACAGTCCATGTTGACCCAACTCGTTGAGTACAGTCACTGACTCGTCGAGTCCTTCCAGAACTCGAGTAGTCGTGAAATCCCCCACTAACTCGTCGAGTTTCCTTGCAACTCGCCAAGTTCATGTGTGTCCAGATGTCGGGAAAAACCTAGTTGACCTGCCGAGTCACTCTACTGACTCGCCGAGTCCATGCAGAAGTCCTTGCACGACAATCTTCATCGGACTCGTCGAGTTAACCATATAACTCGCCGAGTCCCTTCAGTCCTTTATCCATTTAGATGCTTTTTAAGCCATTTTAAGGTTCCGTATTGCAGATCAAGCTTCCCAAGACATGTTTATCACGTAAAGTTGCAAACTTTACGTGCATACAAGGCTCTAAAGACTTAGAATGTCAAATCCAAGCTTGTAATGGAGTTTTACAGCTAAGGAGAGGTTTATAATTTCTAAAGCTGGAAGCTTTATGGACTTAGAGACCAAAGAGAGTTCAGATATGAAGTTCAACTTCAGATCTTAGCTCATACCCACGAATAGCTTCCTAATATGCTAGAAAAGCCCTAATCTTTAACCAAATGAGATCTAGAAGGAAATGAGGTCAAGATAACAACTTGATACCTTCAAATGATGCTAACTGAGGTAGATTTCAGATCCACACACATTGATTGCTGCTAGCTACTTGATCTTCAAGCTCCTCTGACTAAGATCCACCTTCCAAAGCTTATACCAAACAAAAATGGAGCATACACACATATTAGGGTTTGTTGGAGGCTAATGATCCTTTAAATAGGGTGCAAAACCCCGAAAATTAGGGTTTCATCCTCCAACTCTTACTCGTCGAGTCCTATCTTGGACTCGGCGAGTAGGTCACTTAAATACGTGGCCTAACTCGCTGCTACTCAACGAGTCAGGGCATCCAACTCATCGAGTAGACCTTGCAATTATGAAAA